CTGTAACCTCCTCCAGCCCCTACACCCCTCCCTGTCTCTGTAACCTCCTCCAGCCCCTACACCCCTCCCTGTCTCTGTAACCTCCTCCAGCCCTTACACCCCTCCCTATCTCTGTAACCTCCTTCAGCCCCTACACCCCCTCCCTATCTCTGTCACCCCCTCCAGCCCCTACACCCCTCCCTATCTCTGTGACCTCCTCCAGCCGTTACACCCCCTCCCTATCTCTGTAACCTCCTCCAGGCCTTACACCCCTCCCTATCTCTGTAACCTCCTCCAGCCCCTACATCGCTCTGTCACCTTCACTAATTCCCTCCCTAACCCCGACTTCTCTCCTCCTTGATCCCTAAGCCATGGAATCTCTTTGTCCCAGTGTTTTGCCCCTGTCCCTAATATCTCCTGAATTCACCCAGGATCAGATTGTGTTCGGTTTATCCTCCTGTGAACGCCCCAGCCTCACCCCCACCCCCTGAAGGTGGATTATTTGGTTAAATTGAGCATTTTAATTTGTTGGGGACAGGTGGGGGCAAGATGGCGTCCTTGGGGAGACAGGGAGAAGTTGGTGGAAGGGGGCAGAGGAATGGGTTCAGACCCGGAGATGGTGTCTGCTTCAGGGCAATGGGATAACTGGGGGTCCTGACAATCCCAGCACAGCGATTGACCCTTTCCCTACCGATGGAAGATTAACCTCTTGCTGACGTGACCCTCCTTCTCCTCAGGCACTAGTCAGTCGAGTGCGGAATCCTCTGGTGAGCTGGCGCAGATGAAACGTTTTGGTGACCTTACGGTACTTTACCTGCGTTCACCCCTCGTTGTGGGGCAATGGGAGCTTTTTGTCTCGTCAGGAACACCCTACCGCGTAAAAGTGACAGGTCCGTCAGCGTCTCTACTCTCCATCTGACCCTGTCTCATTCACCCCATCCAAATCGCCCTCCTGTATTCCAGTCCCTTTATCATGTGCCTTCTTATAATCTGATACAGTACGTCTCCATCTCTCCTCTGCCCCTCTCTCCATCTCTCTGTGTCTCTTTCCCTTTCTCTCTCTCTCCCTGTCCTCATTGACTTTTTCCTCTGTGAGTGTCAAACATTGTAATGTCAGGATGCCAGGCACAAGCAAGTTCCACAGCTTTTCATGTGAGCGCAGTGGCTTTGGAAATGAGTGAAACAGGGGTTGAAGGGTGAATGGCACAAGGGGCCAGTGTTGCCTGTAGCTGGGTTTGTAATTACTGTGCAGTTGGGGCCGGGGTGTGAATGTAAGAGGTTCAGAACTAAGCTAAGTTTGCAGCCGATACAAAGATAGTTGGAGGGACAGGTAGTATTGAGGAGGCGGGGAGGCTGCAGAAGGATTTGGACAGGTTAGGAGAGCAGGCAAAGAAATGGCAGATGGAATACAACATGGGAAAGTGTGAGGTCATGCACTTTGGTAAGAAGAATAAAAGCATGGACTATTTTCTAAATGGAGAGAAAATTCAGAAGTCTGAAGTGCAAAGAGACTCGGGAGTTCTAGTCCAGGATTGTCTCAAGGTAAACTTGCAGGCTGAGTCAGTAGTCAGGAAGGCAAATGCAACGTTGGCATTTATTTTGAGAGGACTTGAATATAAAAGCAGGGATATACTACTGAGGCTTTATAAGGCTCTGGTCAGGCCACATTTGGAGTATTATGTGCAGTTTTGGGCCCCATATCTCAGGAAGGATTACTGGCCCTGGAGCGGGTTCAGAGGAGGTTCACAAGAATGGTCCCAGGAATGGAAAGCTTAACATATGAGGAACGTTTGAGGACTCTGGGACTATACTCATTGGAGTTTAGAAGGCTGAGGGGGGATCTAATTGAAACTTACAGAATACTAAATGGCCTGGACAGACTGGATGTTGGGAGATGCTTCCATTGGTAGGAGAGACTAGGACCCGAGGGCACAGCCTTAGAGTAAAGGGAAGACTCTTTAGAACGGAGGTAAGGAGAAACTTCTTCAGCCACAGAGTGGTGAATCTATGGAATTCACTGCCACAGAAGGCTGTGGGTCATTGAGTATAGTTAAGACTGAGATAGATAGGTTCTTGATTGTCAAGAAGATCAAGGGTTACGGGGAGAAAGAGGGAGAATGGGGT